TGTGTGTGTGTGTGTGTGTGTGTGTGTGTGTGTGTGTGTATGTGTAGGTGTATGTTAGACTAGTTTAAGTGTTTATGTAGTTAATAAAGTCTTACTTGTATCACACCTGAGGTTGTTAATTGTTTGCTCATAATCGTAGTCCCTGATCATGCAGATTTCTGCTACATGCTAGTACATGAGTAGTATTGTACAGTAAGAAAGTTATTTCCCTTAACCAGGAAATTAACGTTCTTAGAATTGACAGACAGTTGACCCTGAGAGGTCAAGTAAATACTTACAGCGGATCTAAATATTTATAATTAATTATAACTAGTTATGATTTACATTATAAACGTCGATAAAAAACTACGCGAAATGGCATGTTATGTGACTAAAACGTAATTTTTTTCCTCTCGCAGTAACCGATGACCTGTAAATGCCAAAAAACTTTTTCTATTGCAGTTTTGCGATTATATTCCTTTTTTGAATTGCCTGAAAAACCACCTCATGTGAGCAAAAAAACTTTTTTTGCAATTTCAATTTGCACAATTTGAACGGTAATGTAAACTCAGCTTCTGAAGCGGTCTACACTGCAATGTGAATCTTATTTACATTATTATTTACACTTTGTTTGTTACAGTGAGAGGATTCGAGAAAGTGATCAGTCAGTCAGATCACAATGAAAAAAAATATATAGTTTTGAGTAGATTTCTTCTCATAGTGATTCAATGAAATGCATCTGATTGGCTGTTGTGTTCATGTGCTTAACACTGGTGATGCTTAACGCTGCAAAAATGTATTGTAAATTGTAACCTTTGATGCAAGAGGAGTAAATATAAAGATAATGCTGTAATCTGCACTTTTATAGTTTATTGGGCAGCCCCAATTTCTACCATATGTTTACATTTCTGAGTCATGCTGTTATGTACAATAAACTACCAAAACCCAAATTCTTACTCAAGAGGATTTGAATGTGAGCTCCATGTTATCTATATCTGAATGCTGGAAATGCTGGGAAAGTGGATTCTAAGAGAGTTTTAATTACAGCTCGCACAAAGCAGGATCAGCTTTCATAATACAACTGTTGCTGCGCTATTTTGATGAAGGATGTGTTTGATGAAACAGACATTGCATTTGATTTCATGCAGCTTTAAAGTCTCTCGTTACTGATATGATCCTTTTGTTTCAAAACATCCACAAGACTTTCCCATGGTTAATTTTGGCAAAAACTGATTTAACTCAGAGTTCGGCTGTCAGTAGGATACTGAGCTGAAGTTTTCTCTGTAATAAGTAAGTTGCGAAATCAGTGTGAAACAGGAACATCATTTTTTTTCTTATTCACTTTTAACAAAATAAAAAAAATTATAATAATGAGAAATGTTTCCAGTGTAACTTTAATATAAGGACAATGCTTCTCTTGTAAATGATGAGCTCCTGGAAGAAGGACTGGTGACAGGGAGAGGATGCACACAAACCATACTGCAAACAAACCGCATGTTGCAACAAAACTTGCTGTTGACGTTGAACCATCTGTAGAAGCGGTCATCTGTCTTGGTAACAGCTAATGTTGTGTGTGTACTGTGTGCGCAGGTCTCTTCCCAGCTGTGCTGAACCTGGCCTCCATGGCAGAGATCAAGACCAATGCCACATGTGGAGAAACGGGACCAGAAATGTACTGCAAACTAGTGGAGCATGTACCAGGACAGCCCGTGAAAAACCCTCAGTGTCGGACCTGCAACCTGAAGAGTGATTATGCTAATGGTACAGGACACACACACACACACACACTCACACACTGGCTCTCAGGCTGTGCATAATCCATTTGAGATGCCCTAATCAAAGACTGTTTCTGCTCATAAATCACTGCATTCCAAAATCACAGTAACACTGGCACAGTCACGCATGTAACACACATTTACACTGGATTCCCCGCTTCACAGGCCTCATAGAGTAGAAAGTGTTGTTTTTTAATAGCAATATTTGATTCATTAGCACAAATATACTAGAATCATCTGACTCTGGTCTGAGCAATTCATTCACAAACTAGACTGAATCGCTCTGGGGTGTGTTTCCCAAAAGCAACTACAGACATGTTTGCAAGTTCAGTTGTTACCAACATACACTCTTAAAAATAAAGGTGCTTCACGATGCCATAGAAGAACCTTTTTGTCTAAATGGTTCCATAAAGAACCTTTAACATCTTTCTGTTTCACCAAAACCACAACTAGAAACGGTTCATATTTATATTTTAAATGTAAGCTTAAATTCATTTCTAATAAGTAGGCATGGTAACACCGGGAACCTTTTGTCCCCTATTATAATAGCTTTACCTTATTACTGTGCTTGTTTAATTGCTTTTTTAAAGATTGCTGAAAGGGGAAATTTTTCAAAGAACTCTTATGTTCAATATACATTTGGTATTATATGTATAACAAACAATCACTGTGCTCATTACTGCCATCATCATCATCGCACATACAATCCGGCATCCACACCATCACACATTATAGAAATTTTATTAAACAAGCAAACATTTTCAGGGAGGCGTGAATGAAGTTAACTATTATAAAGCCACTATTATCGACCACTTGGCTCAAAACAATGAATACAAACTTCAAAGCTGCGTGTTTGCTGTGTTGCTGGAAAGTGGAGCAGATGGTATGTTTTTAATATTTCACATTTCTTATTATTTGTGATTCATTATGTATTAAATACAGAAGCCCTAGAGCATGACATCACATCCTGTCGCTGATGTTTGTCCGTAGTAATTTGACATTCTGTCAGTTATTTGACATCCTGCGTTGCCGTCAAATCTTCGCTGCTTGAGAAACCTTCTAAATATGAGAACTGATAAGAACTGAACCTAATATGAGTCATTGTTATTAGTATTTTAAAGCAGCATTCTGTATCAGAAAAGGCTGATTTTATGAGTGTCTGTAGTTATTATAATCTAGAGGAGTGGTAAATATTCTCACACATGGCATTTAGTCATAGTTCACCCCAAAATCAAAAGAAATAAAGAAAAAAATAATGCAGAATTTGCATCATCGCAATGTGAAAAAGTAATGAATTGTATACATCATTGTGGTATTTGTTCTTTATGCAAATTTGATTAAAAACGTCATTGTGTCCAGAGGATGGTTTTCCTGACTGTATTACAGTAATGAGAATCTAATGAGAATCATCGTCATTAAGATGAATGAGAATTACAAACAAACTCAAGGGTACAACATTACAGTGCCATAATGTGAGTAAGTAACGACTGAATTGTCATTTTTGGGTCAACTACTTCTTTAATGGGCTGTAGATGTGCTGCATTGTCTTGGATTTGGTTTGAGGGTGAAACATGAGCCAGACCGGTTCTTTTAGGGGTTTTGATGTGTACAAGCTCTTAATAAAACATGCGTGGAGTGAGTTGCTGGTGCTGTCATCCACACACCTCCATCAGTAACGAGTTCTGCGCTTGCTTCAAACACACGCCGCTGCGCCCCAGAGTCACCCACACACTCCCAGCCAGAGAGTGATTAATATAACATGCAATTAGAGGAAATTAGAGAAAGAGAGAGAGAGATGTGACTTAACCAGCGGGGGAGTTCTTTTAAATGAAACCTAGATCTCGCTCATAAATTAGAAAAGAATATATGCAGTCAAATAAATGATTAAGTGGACAACTTTAATCATCGTTGCCTGTAAAGGCAATCATCTGTCTGTAAAGAAAGATTGGGCTTTGTCTCATATAGCTGGCTTTCCACAGGCTCTGCGCCGAGATAAACGTCAGTATTTCAGCGCTTATAAAACTCATCCCTCATTAGAGCAGATCGCTTTATTTCAAAAGACACTTCAGCAGGTGATTTTATTCAACCCACTGAGGTAAAAGCCAGCGGAGACACGTTATTAGTAGCGCCGTGTCCTGTCGTGGTTTAATATGAGGTGTTACGGAGCTCCTCTAAAGGCCTAGTGCCACGATGAATCAGATCTCACTCGATCTCTTCAGATAAAAAAGATACAGATCTTCCTCAGCAGTCCGAAAACACCACTTATTCCAACAAAATGAAATACAAATTCAAATATATGAGCTCTTGAGCAGGTTTTGGTTTTATTTCAGTCAGTTAATAGGACTGATTAAATCAGTTAAAGAATAACTTTGATATTGTTAGTATATTTCAAGATGAGCAGCATCGCTTTACTTGATTATCCAAGAAAGATATTATTAAATATGTAGCTATTTATTATTATTTACAGTAATATTTAATTATTAATTAAATATTAGACAAATCTGTGAGTCTCAAATATGATCTTCAGGCTTTTGAGTGTTTTTTTTTTTTTTTTGAGAAACATCATTGTATTCATTGCATAATATGTTTTGATTATTTAAATATCATCTTACTGAGACATATTATTTGAGATATAGAGTGACGACTGATATTTATATCCATTTATGTCAGTATCTGCTGTACTGTTATAAAGATCTCATAGATTTACATTACAAGCATCAGAATTTCATCTTATACAGTAAATATCAGCATCTGCGGCAAACTGCATATCTTTGCTCAGTTTGAGTCTGAATAAAATTGAGCTGTTCATAAAAGCCTGATGGATCAAATACGTGACCCTGGAGCACAAAACCAGTCTTAAGTGTCAATGTTTTTATTTTTTATATAAATTTATATGTTTTTATGTTTTTATATGTTTTTATAATTGAGCTGAATAAATAAGCTTTCCATAGATGTATGGTTTGTTAGGATCGGACAATATTTGGCTGAGATACAACTATTTGAAAATCTGGAATCTGAGGGTGCAAAAAAATCTAAATATTGAGAAAATCATCTTTAAAGTTGTCCAAATGAAGTTCTTAGCAATGCATATTACTAATCAAAAATTAAGTTTTGATATATTTACAGTAGGAAATGTACAAAATATCTTCATGGAACATAATCTTTACTTAATATCCTAATGATTTTTGGCATAAAAGAAAAATCTATAATTTTGACCCATACAATGTATTTTTGGCTATTGCTACAAATATACCCCAGCGACTTAAGACTGATTTTGTGGTGCGGGGTCACATATAATACTCAAAAAAAAAAAAAAAGAATATATGCAAACCTATTTAAGATTTAATTAAAATAAGGTTTAGTAAACTTTTTGATTTCAAAAGATTAGATGTTCTTACTTTTATGTTGTATAATCACAATTTACAGGGTTAGAGCTCACAGTAAGGCAGGTTTTCACATCTCGATCACATCCACTTTTCTGACTGGTCTTCACTGCCCAATAAAGCCCCTGAGCAGAGATGAATGCGCTGTGGTCTCTCACGAGTGTGTTTTTCGTGTGTGTTGAGCGGCATCCCATCGAGTACGCCATCGACGGCACTAACAGATGGTGGCAGAGCCCGAGCATCATGAACGGGATGGACTACCATTACGTCACTGTGACTCTGGACCTGCAGCAGGTAAACAACAAAACATCAAACAACAACTGCTCGCAGTGACAGCATCCTTATTCACAGCCAATCAGAATCCAGCTTGTGTTTTTGTAAAGCTCTAGCCCTTTCTCACAGCCATTTAGGGTTAAAACACAAGCATCAACAATTTCCTTTTTTTTCACCCAACAGGAAAGCAAATAATTTGCAAGCTTCTACATTAAGAAAGATAATAACTAAATTATTCTAAGCACACATACTCATTCTAAGTATGTGCTACCACTTTAAAGTATATACTTTTTATTTTGAATGCTTATCAGGTATGAAATTGTCCCCTGCTCTGTCATGAGAAGCTGCCGTCTTGAAATTCCTCTGCAGAAAAGCCTCTCTCTTCACTCGCTCCGTCCCTCTGCTGCTCTTCTCCCACTCGCGTGTGTGCAGGTTAGCGCTGGCTTAACAGTGAAAAGCAGTGGAGTTGAATGAGCGTGCAGTAGTGTGTGGGAAGAATGCTCCCATCAGCCCTTATTAGATGATGATCTGAGGCCAGTGCCAGACCGCAGGAAATTACACAAACACCTACAGACACGCAATTAATGCAGTCAACAGATGACACCGGGGTGCAGGGCGGTCAGAATGAAAAGTGACGTGCGAATTAATAGATGAGAGGCAAAACGATAACAAAAATAGAAGCGATGGGAAGTACAGTGTACAGAGAATGATGAAATGAAGTTAACTGGTGAGAAAAGAAGACATGTGTTGCATGTTTCTGTGGGATTGATGTTAGAAAGGATCATAGATGCATCCTGTACACACAAATGTACATACGTTATATAGCACAGTTTATAGTGTGCAAATTCAGATTTAGCCCACAAAGCCCCACAATTTGTTTTGTGTTGGCTTGGGCCCGCATGGGATCTGCACAGGTTTTTCTGTCTTATGTTTTAAGACTACTCCTAAACAGATTTGGTAAAATGTTTTGAAAGCTGAAAGCATTATCGAATTACTTTAGTTTGTGGTCAGTAAGAAATTATCACTTTTATTGAGCAAGAATGCAATAAGTTGATCAAAAGTGACAGTCAAAACATTTTTAGTGTTGTATAATTATTCCATTTCAAATAAATGCTGTTCTTTTTAATTTTTTTATTTATCAAAGAATACTGAAAAATAACATGCATCACGGTTTCCACAAAAATATCGGCAGCACAACTGTTCTCAACACAGATAATAATCAGAAATGTTTCTCGAGCAGCAGAGCAGCATATTAGAATGATTTCTGAAGATCATGTGACACTGAAGACTGGAGTAATGATGCTGAAAATTCAGCTGCGCATCACAGAAATAAATTACAGTTTAACAACAGCTATTTTAAATTGTAATATTTTATGATTTTACTTTTCTCTGCCTTTTTTATCAAATAAATGCAGCCTTGGTGAACAGAAGAGACTTAAAAAAAACATTGTGAAGTCATAATTATTCCAAACTTTTGAATGGTAAGTGTCGTTAACAAAGAAATGTGCAAGGAGCCGGTGGTTTGCAGAACTTTGTGATTGATGAGGCTTGACAGCCCCCATTCTCAGTCATTTCCATTAAATGAAAATGTGTGGCCGTAATATTCACCTAAAAAATGGTCAAGAAGGAAAGTCATACACCATTTTGAATGGCATGAGGGTGATAAATAATGACAAAATATTCATTTGTAGGTGAACTATCCCTTTAATTCCTCCATTGTTCCTCTGTGCCTTACCTGAACTGAAGAATATGACAATGAGTGCAGCACGGTGCGTTAACGGAGGAGACAGAGAGAGCAAGAGAGAGGGGTGGAGGCAAAATAGAAGACAAATGAGTGTGACAGGGTTTGAGTATTCATTAGAGGGGCTGTAGAGGACATTTAGAGTTAATAAATCAGATGAGAGGGTGTGTAATTACTGACGGCAATCACACATAGAGCAGCGAGCCATGACTGCCATCTTACCATCACTCACTCCCTGCCAACCTGTCGCCGCAATGACAAACGTGCGCTAACACATTACAGGCACGCTGAGCGCTAGAGCAAAACCCGTCTCAACTGAGGAAATTGATTCAATTGAATTAAGCGGTTATTTATAAACAGCAGGCTGATATGCACACACTGTTCACAATGCTTCATGTGTAATATGTTTTAGATGGCTAACAGGCCTCCTTCAGTGACTGCGGCTGGGTGTTGAAGATGTTTAGCGTTAGTCTTAAAGGAAGAGTTCACCCAAAAATGAAAATTTGCTGAAAATTTTCTGATTCTCAGGCCATTCGAGATGTAGATGAGTTTGTTTCTTCATCAGACTTGGAAAAATGTAGCATTGCATCAGTGTCTCAGCAATGGATGCTCTGCAGCGAATGGGTGCCGTCAGAATGAGAGTTCAAACAGCTGATAAAAACTTCACAGTAATCCACAAGTAATCCACACCACTCCAGTCCATCAGTTAATGTCTTAAGAAGCCAAAAGCTTCACAAGACAACAGCAGATGGACTTTTTCACTAGAGGAAGTGTTATTATGGACTATGCACTCAAAGTGTAAAAGTTTGAAGATGAAAACATCTTAATGCTGGATTTGTTTCAGCTTTTGTCTTCACAAGATGTTAACTGATGGACTGGAGTGGTGTGGATTACTTGTGGACTATTGTGATGTTTT